AATGCCGGGGTTCAAGGTAAGAAAAATACCCCCTGCAGGTGCAAGGGTCTGTCTCCCAAAATAAATACCACACTGAGCCCCTGGGATGGAGCTGGTTTATATACAGTGCGTGTCTCCTGTAGGCTCCACACCTCTCCATCCAGCCATGCATTTCCCTGGGTTTATGCTGTCAAAGCAGAAAAGCCCTAAAGCAGCCAAATGTGAGGCGAGAGGAGGATGAAGGACCTGGTCCTGCCCTCTTTGAGTGCATGTAGCTTTGGCTCCATCCCTTGCAGGTTTGCAACCTTTGTTAGGTGGAAGATCTGACTGCAGCCATTTATTTCTGCAAATGAAATGTAACCCTTTGCATAGGGAGTGGGCAAAGATTAAAACACCGTGAAAGCCTCGTGAGGTGCAGCCGATAAATTGAGCGAGCAGAGCAGTGGCTCAGGGCTCTCTCAAGAAGGATGCGCTGCTGCCTTTTCAGGCTTCGGAGAGCTGTAAAAATCTCGCCAGTTCTTAAATTGTGCTCACAGACCCTGTAAACACAGAGGTGCCAGTTTTTACTGCAGCTTACACGATTAAAATACAATTTAATTGTCATTTTATGGCCAGTGTAGCACCAGGCAGCTTTATGTTCATTGGTTTTGATTCTAGCACATAAAACCTAGGTTTCAATGCTCAGGAAACTTCACTCACCAGTTCAACATCTCCTCCTCTGTCCCCTCTATGATTCACATGAATTCTGTGCAATGGATGAGCTGCAGTAATAAGTTATTTAGGGTTTTTTTAGCAGAATTTAGCAGAAGTTGGCAATGAGAGGAACAACTCCTGGGAAATGCTCTCAATTCCTCATGAACTGACCTTTTGCAGCTCTGTTTGGTCTCTGCGCTGAGTCACAGATACTGTTAGAAATACAGTTAGGGTATAACCACTCAAAATTCATAGCTTTATGAGGTGGAAGAACCTAGGAAGGTCTCCAATTATGATGCAAATGATGCACAGGACCTTTTGCATGGTGAGCAATAACATCTGCCATGGCTGAAATTAGTCTGGGTCTCTCCCACAATAATAGGAAAGGAGCCAAGAAGCAAAGTGAATCTGAATTTATATGAAAGATTTCAGTGGGACATGGATTTCTTTGCAAGCTTGATGATGCAGACATTAACGATGACTTAAAAAAAGGGAGGTTAAAGATGCAGAATGGGGTTTTCAGAAGCATCTCGGCCCCATTTTCAAAAGTGATGGGAGCTGAGTTTGGGTCCCTGACCTGTAATTGAGAATTGCAGCCAGAGACTGTGGCCATCTCACTGCAAGGCACTCCTGCAAATCAAACCTGGCCATTTCCTGAACATAGATCAATTCTGACACAATGATACCTGGCACAGAGGTGGTACATGGTCAATAACCCCAGAAGTGACCTCCATTCACACATTTACAGCACACGTATACGTTATTTTCCCAGAAGGTTGTTTGTGATGCGAGGGTTGAGGTCTTACAGCGATTTCACAAAGTGTAAATGATGAAACAAGACTGTACTGGAATGTGAATAACTGGAGCTCTTCTTCTAGGGACACACTGGTCACAAAGGAGAACCTGGCGAAATAGGAAAAGAAGGAGAAAAGGTAAACTCCGATTAAAGGGGGATGGGGAAGGATTTTTCTCTTTAAAAGCACAATAACAAATAATTTCTTCAAGAACATGGGGAGAAATGAGGCATTTGGCAGAACAACAAGGAGAAGTTACTGTGACTGAAGTGCGTTGGCTTCCATTGCTCTGCACATATGACTAAGACTTCAAAAAATTCATCTTCCCAGTAATCGTAGCATTATGATCGGTTTGACGTTAGCACCTATGTTTCACATGCAGGGATGTCAGCTCAGGAAAAAGGTCCTGCATGAATCCCTTGGGTAAATTCCTGTGTTTCAGTTCAAGTGCTCCTGCACGTAGAATAAATTCCCTATTGAAGCAACCTCTGCAGCAGAAATCTGGGTGGGAGAGAGCTCAGGGAGAAGCAAGATGGGAAGCTCCCTGGCTTTGGCTTGGCAGGCTCGTGCTGCCTCATCCTTTGCTTAATTATTTTTTGTTTAATTATATTTTGTCTTATTTTTTTTTCTCTCCCAGGGCAGCCCTGGCCCTCCCGGTCCTCCAGGCATTCCCGGTGGTGTTGGCCTGCAGGTAACACCTCCTCTTCAGACCAGTTCCCATGACCTTCTTACTGGGGAACTCTCTGGTGCCATCGGTCATCCTTCGTTACGCAAACAGCCTCTGCTTAATGACAGATGTGGAAGTTGATGCATCAGAAAACTGAGCTTTTTCCCCACTCTTTGCTGTTTCTTGATGTTTGCTGTGCTGATGAGTTGCTACATCAAGCTGTGCTGCCGTTTTACGTTTAACAGTGACTGGGTTTTAACTGATTCATTTTCTTAATTAGGGCCCGAGAGGACTAAGAGGCCTCCCTGGTCCGATGGGTCCGGCTGGCGACAGAGTAAGAAAAGCCTTCATCTGATTTATTTTCTCTTTTCCCCTTCACGACCATTTTTTTCTTATGCAAGGCCCAGGTGGCATTGGTCCTTCCTGGAGACTGCTGGGGAACCTCTAAAGATGCAAAGAGCAGGCTTTTTCCTGCAACATCCCCCTCCTGCCCCCAAGGACAACCTCCCAAAAGCAGGAGGAGCCTACATACCTGAGGGATTGACAGATCAGGCCCAGCATTGATTTAAACAGACCAGGAAGATAAAGTGCTGCCTCATGTAGGACTGACAATGCAAAAAAATCTTCCAAAAAAGCCTGAGAAATTATTCATTTCGCTTTCTGTTCTCTCTCTTACAATAAAAAGCCAAAGCACCACTGATGGGCAGATTTTCAGGCCGTGAGAAGTCTCCTCGGTGAGAACAGGGTCAATCTCCAGCTCATCGTGGCTTTGGATTTTTGCCAGGGTCCCTTGGTGATTGCCCCAGAGGCTGAATGGGTTTGAATTAGATAAAATCATGCACTTATGTAGGAACAAGTGTGTCACCAAGTTATCGAGGCCATGAATGGTGGCAGTGTATCACAGAGATCACGGTGGGGAGATGCAGAGTGAAAACCTGATGGTGCAGAGGGGGATCTTTGCCAGACTGCACTGTGAGCTAGCGAGGACCATGGGGTATTTTTCCAGGGCTTTGGGTGTTTTCTTAGTTTGTGGTATAAGGTGGAGATGCTGTTACTTCACCATTACAGTGATGTCTGTGCTTTGCAGGGTGACATTGGTTTCAGAGGGCCGCCTGGAATCCCAGGACCTCCAGGAAAAGCTGTATGTATTGACTTCTCTATGGCCTTCCTTTCCACAGCCAAAGCCTGGAGTATGTTCCTCCTGCACAAGGGGGATGCTGATCATCTCCATCCAGATATGCCCTTTGCTGCCTTCCCTCCATTTAGAGCAATGTTATCTCACCTAACCCAGATCTCATCGTGTATTTCCCCATCCCACAATAAGCTCCTCACATTTCATTGCTCGCTCTTCTTCACTGCTCTTCTCTGAGCATCAGCAGCTGTGGGTGAGCATGAGAGGGGCATCTGTATTCGTCCAGACCCTTGTACCTTCCTTACTATGCCCAAACATGAGACCTGAGCTGAATCTGCAGCATTATGACCTCTCTGAGAGCTTTTTCCACTGGCTGCTACCCAGTTTCTCCTTGGCGTGGATAATACAACATCCACTTTATAGCAGCACCTTCACCTGCCTGCAGCAGCCAACGCACCACAGTCCCTGAGGCAGCACCCCCCCTCTGGGGACCCCTCCCCAGCCTTTGCAATTATAGAAGAAATTCATCCAAAGTAAAATAAAATGAAGTGCTTACCATCCACCAAACATTTAATTACAGTCAAAGAAAATGCTTCATTAAATGAAGGGGAAGATGGTCTCTGCCCACAGAGGTTGTTGGCAAAGTCCCTGCTGCCGTTTGCGTGTGCGTCAAGAGTTGCAGAGTGTGACTGGGAAAGCACAGCTCAGCTCCTGGGGGAGGGCGTACGCTCACGTCTCTGCTAATGCCAGCAAACAGCACCAAAACCTTCATCCTTTACACCCTGGAAACGTTCATCTTTGTCGCTGTGCACTGAAGGGGATTAATGGCTTTTTCTCGTTTGTCACAGGGAGACCAAGGAAGCAAAGGTCCTCAAGGATTCAGGGGGCCCAAAGGTGACACCGTAAGTGCAGTGAAACACTCATCTCTCAGATTTCGCACGTGACATTCAAAGGACCCTGTTTGACAGGTTTATTACAGCTTGTCCCTCCTTGGTTTATTGGAAAGGGAGGTAGAAGGGATGAAAGTGTTCCTCTCAAACACGAGATGTTTAGGTCTCATTAAAGATACCTGTAATAAGATGACTAAGTGCTTCTTACAATCCAGAGCAGAGAGGTCAAACCTTACATCTCCACCCCTTGAGATGAGATCTTCCTAGATGTTGCAGTCAGCACCAGCCCAATTTTATGTGTCATCCAAGAACCACCATGCCTACATGAACAGGATGGGAGCCAGTGCAAACTGAATTAAATGTCCCTGGAGTCTGAGTATTATCTTTGCTGACTGATTGCTCTTAAGGGTTGCATCCTGGATAACACAGGATTTATTGCTGATTTCTAGGGCAGACCTGGACCAAAAGGAAACCCAGGGCCTCGTGGACTCATAGGAGAACCTGTAAGTCAATCAAGTCTCGCTGTTGCTTTGCTTACAGATGATGGGATAAAACACAATAGGAGAAATCTTGTATCTTACAGTCTTTGCTATCAAACTGCTGCTTTCTGGGTCCGTGTAACCTTCAGTGTAGTCATGGTTGGACCAAGCCCCAGCTGTAATGCTGTCCATGAAAAATCCCTCTGTCTCCCAGTACGGCTCAAGTTGGACCCATTGCCAAAAAGCTCTTTGTGAATGCATTTTGGTGAAAAATCCCTCTGTCTCTCAGTACGGCTCAAGTTGGACCTATTGCCAAAAAGCTCTTTGTGAATGCATTTTGCAAACCACAGAATCTCCTCATGACCTTAACCCGCGTTGTACCTGGTTGCAGGGCATGCCTGGCAAGGATGGACGGGACGGAGCTCCTGGACTCGATGGTGAGAAGGTTTGTAAAGTCCTACTTAAACACCGCAGGGAAGATTTCTGTTACTGTCCCATGTGTGTTGCAAAGCCACTGATGCCTGTCAAGATGGAGCATGGCCGGAAAGCTTTTGCTTCTAAAAAGTTACCCAATAGCATAACGAGTGAGGAAGAGCGAAGTTGCTTCTATTAATTAATCCCAAGGAAATTCCCTAAAGAAAGAAGGTGCACGTATGGGCCGTGCACATATGATCTAAACTCAGCTGTGTCCTGTACTTACTGGTTCCTGTTGGCTGACTCCAGGCCTTCAGAGAGGCCTCTTCAGAGCTGTTGACAGAGACATCTGTTTACTTTAATTGCCTGTAGAGGAAGTGCTGTCAGGTTTTTGAATGGTGATCCCACAGAAATGTGGACCATGTGCTTGCCAGGAGCTAAAAAGGGCCTAAGGAAACCCCTGGGAGCTCCAGTGGGTGCCCACCTCCTGCAGACACAGCAGGTTCTTGGTCCTGTGCGTACGGGGAGGGAGGAGATCACAAAAGCCTGTTTGGGAATGTGTCAGACCGTTCTCCAGGAGCAGAAGGTCCCTCCTAACCTCTCGCTATCCGCAGGGTGATGCAGCTCGCATGGGAGCTCCTGGAGAGAAGGGACCCAACGGACTCCCCGTGAGTACGGCAGCAGGACCCGTCCCCTTTGAGGGGTACAGCAGCTTGGTCTGTGCACAGAGATGATTCCTGGGGAGAGGGAAGGTGCATTTTGTTGTTGTCTCACAAGGGGCCCATCTAAATTCATAGGAAATGCACTTTTCCCACCAATATAAAGCAGGGAGCAGTAGAAGACAGAACGAAAAACATCTGGAGTAGCACCAAATCCTGATGCAGTAATACCCTGGCTTTTGGCCACTCTGTTTAAAATTTAATTCTGAGAGGGATTTTCTCTTCCACATCCCAGTGACTTGCATCCCTTATGCAGGGAGGTAAGATCTGGGGTACAAATGACCATAATTCAACAATATCCTGAGCTCTGGCTTACCAGTGTTCATTGGCACTCTCCAGTCCTCCAACTACTGTAATAGAGGTAAAGTATTCCTTTCCTTCTGCTTTACAGACTACTTTGAACACCCCTGGAGAGAGGTTTATGCTGTGAAAAATGATGTTGCTGCTGCCGCTCTATTTGTGCTTTCCTCCTCTTTGCTCTAATTGTCAAGGATTTGTGTCCATAGAGCTGCTAGTGCAGAAAAGGGAAATTGAAGCCATCATTTTCATGGTGAAAGTCACAGAAATTTAAATCCACCATTGCTTCAAGCAACCATTGCTCCTTCTACATCAAATCAGACCAGAATAACAAATTTAATAACTCTGCTTCTTCTGACATTGCTTTAATATTTTTTTTTACAGGGGCTGCCTGGAAGAGCAGGTATTAAAGGCTCAAAGGGTGAACCAGTAAGTGAAATCTCTCTAATGATGGGTTCTGGTGCAGAAGCCACTAAATGTGTCACAGCAAAGCTCTTCAGATATTGGGGATTGGTGCCTATAGGTTAGACCCTGGGAGGACTTACACAAAGTGATGGTGTCAGGCCAAAGGCTGAGCACCTGCAAGCAGGAGCGAGATTATCCTATCTTGCATTTTTTGGAGACTTTCCCCTGCCTCAAGCTTCCATGAAGCCTTAGATCTGTGAGAGAAAAGCAAATCCAGTCCAAAGCAATCCAGCACAAAGCTGGTCTGGAAAGCATTATTTTTTATGTCACTCCCATTTCTTTCTGATTTTCCCCTTGTGCACCTACATCACTATTCATAATCCTCACGCATGAGAGAGAGCTGCAGGAAGATGCTTCTCCTTGCAGAAATGAATGAAGTGGGGTGTCCTGAGCATGCTCCAACAGAGCATCCCTGTCTCAGTCCCAGATGGGATGTGGTGGCACTGCCCTGGTCCCAGGACAGAACGTGCAGCTCATCTTTAAATGTCCATTCATTAGAGTTTTCTTGATCTTAAAGCTGTGAAAGTTTAAAGTTATTCTTATTTCCTGACCCAGGTTTTAGCTCCCTCATTCCCTTGTTGCTCTAAGTGGGACAGAAATGACTCTGAAATTATGCCCTAACCAAGTGTTTGCTTTCTCCCCTACAGGGCAGTCCTGGAGAGATGGGAGAGGCAGGTCCCTCTGGAGAGCCGGGCATCCCTGTACGTATCCCCACCATTTACACTTGTCTGAGCGTGTTTTAAACCAAGCTGCAAAGCTGGAGCTCACATGCTGCTTCCCCACACAAATCAAGCTTTTAGTGATGGCAAGGCAGGCAGTGGGACAGGGATTTTGAGGCTGAAACAGCCTGGGATCCAAGAATATGCTCTGGCTTTGCAGTGGGTTGGGACGGGTGGGTTTGTGGTTCCTAAATGGTACAGCTGATTTTGGTGTTCTTGCAGGGCGATGTTGGTATTCCTGGTGAGAGGGGTCTGCCGGGACCCAGAGGAGCAACCGTAAGTACAACGCTGCTCGTAAATCACATCGGTACCAAAATCGAGCTCAGTACGTGGGGTTACTCTCTGGATAAAATCAAAGGCCACGTTCTCTCTTGGTATTGTGTCTGGGGAGTTTCGGAGCAGAGAGTTTACTCCCCCATAGGTGGGTCAGGTCCTGTTCTCACTGACAGCTCCATGCAGACACAAAGTGATTCCTCCCATTTTGTTTGGCAAAGAAAGCTGCGGCTGTCCAAGGGGTTTGAGGAGCTGCCACAGTCAGACAGGAGAGACAGGACAGTCAGCACTTCCCTCGTCAGACAGCAAAACTGAGGTTCGGCCTGTGCTCAATGTGGGATCCTCCATGGAGCATCCGATTCCTGCTTTCATTGCATTCCCTGCGTCACCGCAGAGCCCCAGAAAAAAAGAGCTGCAGGAGCTGCAATGCAACCCTGAAAATGACTGCATGGCTGCCTGTGGTGTCCCTGCTGAGCAGCAAAGACAATAATAAATGCTATCAGGATGATAAAAGCCTGATTTGTTCACACTGCTAGGATACCTTTAATTTTGTCGCTCCCCAGCTAGTGCTGCTGTGGGGTTGGACTTGACCTTCCACTGGTTTTGTTGGGCCTTTTTTTCCCCCCCTCTTAATCTCATTTTGAAACCCAGAAGCCTACAGCAAGTCTTATGTGATTTCTGGTATGTGCCACTTGGAAGAAATTGAACTGTAAGATGATTTATTGCTTGTGAGCAGCTGCTCTTTAAACTTCTAAGGAAAGGGAAATCAGCCTTGGAAATAAACTAAATTAATAATGTTTGCTTTTATGCCTGCAATTTTTCATCAGAATAGCTGGCCCCACAGAAGGCACGGTATTATTACAGCTAAAAATCAAATGCAGTCCAGCTAATTGCATTGGTGCAGACTTCTACTGTGGATGCAACAGCAGATGAACCCGTGCTTGTTTCTAATTTCTGATTTGTATTTATTAGAGTCCTAATTTATATGAAATATAGTTGAGCCTGGGCTATTCTGAGAGACGCAGGATTCATCTAGTGTTAAGATTGCTTGGCTCAAAATAATTTGGCTTTATTCAGCAGAGCGTACCCAGGGCTCCTCCCCGTTCAGAGGCTGTCAGGTTCCATCAGGTCCCACCGCTTCTGAAGGCACCGGCGCAGCAGAGCCATTTTGGATGCAATTTAACGTAACTTTCCTAGAGCTCTGTATTTGTAACTCTCAAAGTTCCTCACTGGATTACAAGCAGAGGACAGAAGTGGAAACAGTGACCACAGGAATACCTGAGAATCTCTGTAGCTCTCTGAAGATGCTGTGCTTCGTTTCCGTGGATCAGCTCCTTCCTCTGGGCAGACCCTGGTTTCTGCACAAGATCATGACTGTGCTGATCTCAAGAGAAGATCTGTTTCAAGAAGATGCTTTACAAAATGGGATTTAGTTGCCTAAATTACCTAAAGCTTTCTTTCACCCAAGATCTTTGTCACATATGTGATTTTTCTCAGTAGAAAGCAACTCCCAACAGCAATGTTCACATTCCGTCAGGCTCTCAAAGGCACCTGCACTAACAGCATAAGGTGCTGCCTTTTTCTATGTTGCAGGTACAACCTACGTCCAAGCAACTGGGTGCATTTACCATTTTTCACGGCCAAGTGCAGGCAGCACTTGTTTTACAGCAGTTTCTTGCAGCATTGGATCAATTAAAAGTGTAATATTAGGATAGCGGATCCCCTTTAATGTATATTGTCTACGCTTTTTCATGCTTCCACCTTCTGCTGCCACTGATCTTTACTGCTTATGGGTATGATATGTCATTAAGCATTAATATATATTTAAATAAGCATTTATGTTATTAATAAAGCTCAGTAAACACCAAGCACCACTTCACAGGTGCTCCTCAGGCTGATCAGCGATGCCACAGGGCAAAGGGTGCAGAGCTGCACACTCACACTCTTTTACAAATGAGCCATAATTACACAAATTACTTACCCAGCTCTGAATTTTCTCCTGACCAAAGCTTTATCTTTCTCTTTTCAGGGTCCGCTTGGTCTTCAAGGCCCAGTGGGAGCCCCTGGTGTCAGAGGATTCCAGGTTGGTGTGCTGGCAAGGGTAATCTAGAGGGTTCACCACCACTCTCCTCAGTGAAACAGCCTGAAAACCAGTGCAGGTGCTACAGGTGTGACCTGAGCACTTTAGGAGGGTGACTGACCTCAGGTGTGAACCATGGTGGGACAGCAGTTGGGATGAGCTGCACTCAGTAGCAGTACCAGCAGTCCCTGTGTCCAGTGGGGAAAGGAGAGAGGAGACCCAAGACCTGTGACTTTTTTGAATGTGTTGTGAACTTCAGGGATGTCGAGATATGCAGGGTTTCTTGACACTAAGTTGCAGCTCTTTCATTTTTGTTTCCCTAACAGGGTCCCAAAGGTGCCAGTGGGGAGCCTGGCCTTCCTGGGCCAACTGGAATTCGGGGAGAGATGGGTGACAGGGTAAGGAGAAGACATCTGTAACCAGTTCCTGTTTGAGGGATGTGAAATTAGAGTAACAGGGCTCCAAATGCGGTGTACCTGATGGCACCCTGGCAAACACAAGCAGGCTGCTTAGGCGGTGGGTACATAGGGTTAGGAGGTATGGGTACATTGGGCATCCCAATCCATCCTCTGTGGCTGCTGTGTGCCCAAGACACATCTTGGGGCAGGCAGCAGGAGTTGTGCATCCCATCTCTTCTGTTTCCATCCTTGTTTCTGTTTTAGTTCCGAAACTCCCACTGTATTTAGATAGGATGAATTGTTTAAAAGACACTTTGGGATCCTATGCTAGCCAGAATAGACAATTTTGGGGAGTTTTTCCCAGCTCTGTTTTCTCTGATTTCACCAAAGTCTTGCTCAGGAGAGCCAATTAACACATTGTTGTTACTTGGATGCTTGATTGGAGTTCCTGGATTTTTTATTCAATTACGGTTTGCTCTGTGACTTTTCTCCCTGAGCAGCAACAAACCTGGGCCCCACACCTCAGAATAAATGCAACTTTTGATTTAAATGGGTTCATTCTCATTTAAAAGAAGCCAGCAGGGCCGAGTGAAGGACATTTGTTCAGGGCCTGCAGGAGAACAGTGGCCGTGTGTTCACCGGCTCCCCTGACTCCAGCGCTAAGGTGAAGTCTCTGTGTAAGCAATCGCAGCGGCACCTCAGGGGTTTCACAAAGGCTCTTCTGTGCCAGGAGCCTCTTGGAGGGACTGGGAAAGGAGAACAGGAGGGTTATTGTGGAGCTGCAGGGTCCTGACTGTGTTCAGGGCTTGGCTGCGGCGAAAAAATGTATGTTCAGGGAGGAAGAGGCCCCTGCACAGAGCAGCCTGGTATCCAGAGGGCTGTGCCCAGCAGAGGGAGGGGAAAGCGTTGCTCTTAAAGCAAAAACAATAATTTCTAGACTTTATTTCTGGCTCTGAAGTGTAATTACTCTAAGATGTAATTGTTTCTTAGCACCCCAGCTCGTTAACAGCTTTCCCCAGGAAAACATGCTGCAGCAGGTTTGGGTAATGCTGGAGACTTTTGATGTATGCAATGGGCACTCAGAGTGACTTCCCTCTGCTCCCCTGGTCCCACTGGTGCTGGTGACAGCCACATGTGCCCACAGCAAGGGCTGTGCCTGCAATCACCACTGAATTTCCACACTTTTGGGCATGAGATTTGGGCTAAGAAGTCCCTAAAACCTCAGATCACATCTTTATATGTTAAACAACAGCGTTGGCTGTGCGGGGAGGTGGCATCTGCTGGGGGTGGACAAGGACTGCAGCAGACACTGCCCTGGGTTTGCTTTGGTCCTGATGTGTCCACAGAGGAGAACTGCAAATATAGGGCTTGGTCTGGCTGTGGCCAGGAATATAAACCGGGTATCAGTAAGGGTATTTTCTTGCTTGAAAAATAGAAGAGGTGTAATGCATTTGACTGTAAGATACAGAATAGCATTGAGATGATATATAAACCATCTTGTTGGAGTGGGATGTTGGGGAGATGGAGGATTTGACTGTTATTCCTGACTGTGGTAGTAATAGATAAACATTTTTCCTATATATTTTTATTAAGAACGAATTCCTGGGGATTCTGAATGCCGGCAGCCATCTGAGGCAACGTCTGTGTCAGCTCCGTGCTGGCGTCACGAGAGACTTGGCAAAAAATGTTGGTTGTTTTCCACTGATAGTGACACAAACGTCCCCATTTCAGTCACGATAGTGAGATGACAGTAACAAAAAGCAGAAGGGCAGAATCAAAGCAGGGGTCCTGCTCCTGGGATGGGTGAGAAAGATGACTTTTGTGAGATGACTTTTTAAAGCCTAGGATTAAAAGCACAGAATTCATTTCAGTTGTACTTAGGAGACTGAGGAGGATGGTATGAAAAAGGCTGGTGTATATAGCCTGTGTTGGGCAGGTATGCAGCAGGGCATTGCCCAACCATGACAAGAACGTCTCTGGTCTGGTTGGATGAGGACTTGGGCAGGAGACCACCAGGCGTGGGCTGGGAGGTCCTGCTGGGCCTGGCAGCTGCTCTGTGCTGTAGGCAAGAGGCTTGAGAAACTGCCCTACAACACAAACCAGGGGCTGTGGAGAGCTACAAAGCCAGCAAGGATGCTTGGCATCTCTTCTTGTTTCTAAGAAGTTTGAATGAGGTTTGGTCCCTCCTACTTGGCAGTGAGGAGACAAATTCCCAGCCCCTTGCTGGGTGAGTGACAGTCTGACCGCACCAGGAATTCACAGGAAAACAACAGTTTGAGCTCATTCGCCTTCTTTCTTTTACTTATTCTCAGGGTCCTGCTGGTGTTCCTGGGCCCAAAGGTAACCAGGTAAGTGAAGCTCATCTTCCTCCTGGGATAACTTCCACGCTGCAGTCAGCAGAGGCATTAAACCGTGCTTTAGGCGCAGCCTTTGACAGGACAGCCTGCTTTTCCTTCTCTCAAATGAAAATATACTGGAGCAGGCACCAACAAAACCCTCTCTAAAGCCACAGAGCCACCATAACGATGTTCATTACCTGCACTAACTGCTGTGTAATAAGCCAGCTCTGCTTATTGCAGAGCGTTCAGCGGGGGAAGTGCTGCCCAAGCAGTCGGTGGCAGCAGCGTGCAGTGATTTGTGTCCCCAGCGATGCTCTAATTGCACGTGCAGCTATTGGCTTAATGGAAGTGATGGACAGATTGATGGTCCTTGTCACGGCTTGTAAAATTAATGTCACCAGAGCTTTAGCCAGCCTTTCGTGAGGGTCCTCAGAGCGAAGAGGGATGGTCCTCACCTGGTGATGGTCCTTACCTGGTGATGGATCACTTCTGTTTAAAGGTGGGGTGAAACCATTCTGGACATGACTCTCCTTCCACTGAGGAAACCTAGAGGACGTGGTTACACTGAACATTCAGCTGTCAGTGCAAACACATGTTTTCTATGAGACCCCCATCTCCCTTAGGAGCTAAGGCTGTCCAGGTCTCAAAGAGTGAGCCTTGCTGTCCTTGACCGTTGTGCACCAGGAAGTGCAGTGTTAATGCTGGTGTTTCACTTTCAGGGCATTGCTGGAGCAGACGGCCTCCCTGGTGACAAAGGAGAGCTGGTAGGTGTCCTTGAATTCAGTAAGTTGACTCCTCACAGAACAGATGGGTCTAGAGAACCACGAGCCAGGAAGTGATACGGTCAGTCAGAACTCACCTCCCAAGAGCTCCAACCCACCAACGTTATGCTGCTGCTTACACAAAGGAGAGGGCAAGCGAAGCCTTCCCACCACCGTAATTGTGGTGTGCATCAGCTCTCCTGCACTCTTCAGGAAGCACTAGATCACCAGTGTGGCCTTTGCAGAGCTGTGGCACAGCAGGTCTCAGTTGTCATTTTGCTCCTCAGTGCAGTTGATATTGCTCTGTCCTTGTTGGGTTTGGGCCATCTCAAGAAATAGCCTGGTAGCCCAGACCTGCGTTCAGCAATGGTACCCGAGGCAAATGGTGGTGTTGGAGTGCTCTGCCCGTTGTGCCGGGGCTGGATCAGGTCTCCAGCATCCTCTTACCCTTGCTAGAAAAGCCCCTTAGGTGCCCTGTACGTGTCATCGTGGCTTCCCAGAGCTTGGGAGATTTGACTTTAGATGCACATTTTTCTGAATGGATGATTCTTTATTTCCTTTTTCTTTCTAACAGGGCCCCTTTGGTCCCCCTGGCCAAAAAGGAGAGGTATGTGTCTGACGCTGTAGGCTCATGCTCCAAGGTTTGGAAGTAAATATGCTTACTGATCTTGCCATGACGTATCTCCATAAACTCCGTTCTGGTGTCACTTCCTAAAAGCACGTTTTTGTCACGGCCATGTTATAAAATCTGTGACAATGACCATTTTCTGTGGCATTCAAAGCATTCCACTGTGTTTTATCATTCTGCAGCCACATGAACTCTCACTATCATGACCTGTATGTGTAAAATCACCTGGGAAATGTAAGAAACATATGTGATCAGCCAGATCAGTTATGGAAACCAAAGAAAGGTTTAATTAATCCCTATGAGAAAATAATGGATGATGTCTTCTGTGTAGAGGTTTTTTACATTTTCCCTTCCTCCTTCATTACAGCCAGGAAAAAGAGGAGAACTTGGTCCGAAAGGTGTCCAGGGACCCAACGGGACGGCTGGGGTACCAGGGATCCCAGGACATCCAGGGCCCATGGGCCATCAGGGGGAGCAAGGCGTTCCCGGCATCACGGGAAAACCTGGGCCTCCCGTAAGTATTCCCTGCCTCTGGGGCAGTCGCTGAAGGGAATCCATGGATCGTGGATTTTTGGATGTATATTCCAGAATAAGGTCCTGCATTCGAGCAGGCAAAAGTAGGGAACTGCACACGCAAGTGAACAGTCTCGCACTGAGGGTTTGCCAGTGCAATACCAGCAACCCCCTCAGAGCTTCAGAATGAAAACACCCCAAAATACACACCTTGGAGAACTCATCTCCTCTCTCAGTGACACACAGATTATCTGCATGCATTGGGACCAGCTGAAAGGCACTTTTCTCATTGCAAAAGTGAGTTAGTAGTTGGTCATTTGAAAAAACAACTCCTATTCACTGCTTCAAATGTTATACCTCTGTCCTGGTCCAGAGCTCATGTTTCATCATTAAGGAAAGGCCAATTATGCCTCAGATCAAACATCTGGCCTAACATTAAAATTAATTTCTGTTGTGACTATAAGAGAGCTTTAAACTGAACACATTGTCTTTTGAAGAGAGGAAACTCCCCCTCCTCTTCATGCGGGGTCCTGTGTTGCTGGAAATGAGTTTCACGTCCCGAAGCTGCTGTCAGGGATGATTATCAACAAGAAGGTTTGTATAAAACCAGAGTCTTCTATTAATTGCAGGGCAAAGAGGCCAGTGAGCAACATATAAGAGAGCTCTGCGGGGAAATGATAAATGGTGAGTGTTACTGGGAGAAAAGTGACTTTAAGTACTGTATCTAGCTGGAGATGAGTGGATCCTGAACATAAGATGGCTCTTGAGATTTGTTATTTTTTTGTCTTAAGAAGAAAAAAAAAATACATCGACAAACTTTAGTATCAGGAAATTATTCAGGAGGTCATTTTAAAATAATTAGTATTTTCATCACATTAACATACAAAGAGTACAGAAAGCAGCTTTGCTGGCAAAAGTGTTTGCCCTACCCTGTGCCATCCTGAGCCTCTGCTCCCAAGCAGCGTTCCTCTTCCTTCGAGGTTCCTGTTCTGCGTTTAGAGGTTACGTTCTAAATTTGAGATGAAGTTAAAGTCTGAAATATTGCTTCCAGAAACATGTTTTAATTATTTAAGTATTATTTTCTAGAATAGTTGACATCTTTAAAAGTGGTTTAGGAAATGGGAAGTATCAGTGCCCTGAAACCCTGCAGATTTCTGACCCAAAATCTCCCTCCGTGGAGATTTGAAAAAATCCAAAGCCACAGCTGAGATGAGGTGGCAGATGACAAACAGCCAAGGAAACGCTGGACATGCAGAGTTTAACTGTTCTTTTCAGATCAAATCGCACAGTTAGCTGCTAACCTGAGGAAGCCCTTGTCTCCCGGAATGACGGGTCGTCCTGGCCCAGCGGGTCCCGCAGGTCCTCCTGGAGCTACGGGAAGCATTGGGCATCCCGGTCCTCGTGGTCCCCCTGGATACAGAGGGCCAACAGGAGAACTTGGAGATCCTGGTCCCAGAGGTAAGAATGAACCAACCTGCTTCACTTTTCTGCCTACCAAAATAAATCCCAAACTTGTACTAAGCAGCAGTGAAGGAGAAAAGGTCAGGCCTTGGGCAGCTGATGGAAATCTCGAGGGTAGTTTTGCATCTTTAGGGATGCAGAGTAAGATCCTAGCAGTGTCCTGAGGATTTTGAGCTTCTCTTGGTCTTTCCCCTTCCTGTCCTTGGATCCAGCTGCAGTGCACAACTCACTGCTGAAACTGTTTGATTACAGGTGACACTGGTGAAAAGGGAGATAAGGGACCTGTTGGTCAAGGTATTGATGGGCCTGATGGCGATCAAGGACTTCAAGGTAAGGCTGTGCAAATGATTTCATACACCATGCCTAAAGTAAAGGCTGTGTTTAGACACAGCACAGCACTAAACATCCCCCTTCAGCTCTGCTGAGGTAACTCCAGTAAACGCAGAGGTACTCTAAAAAATCCAACACACATACTCCAGATCCAGAGTAAATTTAATCAACACCTTGTACTCAAGAGGCCATAACAAGACACTCAAAGTAAAACATAACAAGAACTCTAAAAGTAACACA